CGAGGGAGGATATAGGCGGCCGATCCCGTCACCCGGGAATCGGTGGTCCGGCCCCGTAAGCCGGGTGCCGGTGCCCAAACTACGAGGGAGGATATGGGCAGCCGATCCCTGAGAGAGAGAGAGGGGAATGCGGTTCCGTCAGCCGGTCCTGGCATCCCACAGTTGGGATTGGCCCTTGGCCGGCTCACCCGTATTACTCCTCCATGTCCGCTTGCCACGTGTTTTCCAGGGGTCGTTTAGCTGCTCCTCCTCTCCGGGATTACGACTTCTCTCGTTCAACTCACAAAACCGACTCCCCGATCGGCGGGCAGTCGGAGCTGCTCGAGGCCCTTCTCTGCTGCCGACCGCGGCAGCGTCCCTTTCGCGGGCGCTATGTTGTCTGGCGGTGAAGCCTAACGGGCTTTCGCTATGCCTTAGCTATGTATGTACAAGTGCCCTTTGTGGATCTTAACTAACGGGCCTCCGGGTCTGGTACATCGTTTGGGATGGACTCCTCCTCCGTGGAGGCCTCTTCCTCGGGCCATGGGGCTGGGCAACGTCGAGGCCCGTTTAGCAGGATGCCCGGTGGGCCCTCGGCTGGTCCGGTGGGTTCGTTCCCCGTGGCTGGGTGGTGGAACCGCCAGCGCCACGTATCGGTGGCGGGCAGAGGCCTTACCCGTCGCACGGGTTTGGGTGTGGACGCTGCAGCCACTCCCACGACGAATGCCGTGTTGTCGGTCGGTATGGGCGCTCGTACTGCTGGGGTGGTGGCCGGCTGTGGTATTGTTCCCGTGGCGGGTAATGTGTCCAGTATCGTCCGGGCTGCGGCTCGTATGGCTGCACGCCGCTGGGAGGTGGCCGAGGTGGTGGGGCCCTCTGGGGACTCCATTAAATGTTGCTGTAGTGCCCCGGTGCGCTCCCGAACGGGCAGCCTGCTCGTCTGTGGTTGTGTCGGTGGGGCCGGGGTTGATGTCCCCGGTGGGGGCGAGTTGCCCCGAGGCAGCGGCGCCGCTGACCTGCGCCGCCATGACGGCGGCGGTGGTGGCCCCGTCTGATGCTGGTTGGTCTGTTCGTTCCTCCGGGTATGGGCCAGGCACGAAGAGTTCCGCGTACGATGGTGGCTGGGTCACTTCCCGCGTGGCAGGTGCTCCAGGCGGGACCTCGTTATCCGGCCAGCTCCCCTCCTCGTCTGAAATGAGGATCGCTGTCGTCTCCCGTTGTTTTTCGTCACCCGAGCTAAGTTCTAGGACTTCCGTGTCGGAGATGTCCTACATCGCCCAGCGGTCCTGTGGGATTCGGCGTAGTGGCTTCCCGCGGATGCTGTGGAAACGACTCGATCTTTAGTTGGAAATCGTCCAGCTCTCCCTCTCCTTCTGCCTCGAAGAGAGAGGCCATCATTTCTTCCAACGTGAGTCCCCCGCACCACGCAGGACTGATGGTTGGAGATGGTGTCTCACTGTTAGCCGATCGTGGTCGTGGGACCGGGTGCTGCGCCCGTGGTGTCCATGTGTGCCCAGTGTGGCTTCTCACGGGCGGAAATTGTACATCTACAATCGAGGGTTTTACTACAATTCGGCCATCCTGCGACTTGGATCCCCTGATCCTGAGATTCTTAAAGTGAAAGTTAAAGCTAATTACATTGCCCGTCTCTTAGCACGACGTTGAATCATATAATCTTATGTCTTACAATAATTTCCTTTTCCCTATCCATGGTCTTATATTTTGAACACTCCAGACACCTTTGTACGGATTTCGCGATACTTGAAAGCCTTCAACGTCCTGCAACAAGAACCTTTCGTTCCTAAGGTCTTTGGCTATAACATATGGTCCTTTATTCTTGGGGATCAACTTTCTCGCAACTCGTGCTGTGCTATCAAAGTTTTTTACCATGACGTAATCCCACTTTTCATAGTCCTTGGTCTTTTTCTTTGTCTTGTCAAATTAAGTTTTATTGTACGCCTGAGCTTTATTTTGATTATCTATTGCTTTCAATAGAATTTCCTCTAAACTTTCTGTTACAATCGTATCTTTTATTTCTTCTAATTTTTCCCTAAGTTCATCTACGATCTCTCCTTTCTGTTGAACCCCAAAGAGCATTTTGCTCGGTGTCTGTTTAATGCTTCTGTGGACGGTGTTATTTAAGGTAAATTATACTTGCTCAATTACTGCGTCCCAATGTACACCGTTTTCTGGTTCCGTAAGTTTGGCAATCATAGGCCCAATGCTCCTGTATATACGTTCCACCTGCCCGTTAGCTTATGGAGAACCTGTTGCAATTTTCAGGTGCTTTATGTTCCTCTGAGACAAAAACTGATCAAAATCGTTAGAGGTAAAGCAACTACCTCTGTGTGACACAATCGATTTTGGTGTGCTATAAGCTCTGAAGTAGTCGCCTAATGCTTTTAAAACTTCTTTTGTATTTGTCGTCTTAGTTGTGTACAGTCGTACGAACTTAGTAAACCCGTCAACAATCAAAAATATGTGTTTATTTGCTCTTCTTTTATCTACTGGTCCGTAGTGATCTATGTGGAGTAACTCGAATGGCTTATCCCCTTTCGGAATGCTATGCAGAAAACTTTCTGATTTCCCCGTTTTTGGAGCAAATGCAACACATTTTAGGCAATTTTCAATGTGACTACTGCACTTCTCTTTCATTTTATTAAACCAATACGTTTTTAGAATGGCGTCTATCATTTTATCTCTGCCAATGTGTCCAAGTTCATTGTGGTATTTATGTAAAACATGACTCTCCATTTCTTCAGGGACATAAAATAATAATCTGTCGTCGTTCGATTTTCTATACACGACCCCGTTTCTCATTTCAAACAACTTAAGCTGGTTTTTCTCTAGTTGGTCCCGAACTTTTAAAATATTTGAATCCTTTGATTGACAAATTAACAGATTATCTTCAAAACTATTGGCCTCAACCGTCAATACATGACACCTACTTAGAGCATCTACGTGCTGCATCTTATTTCCCGATCGGTGAACTACTTCGTAATCAAAGTTTTGAAGCTCGAGTGCCCATCGGGCGATTCTTGGGTTTAGGTCAACCCTATTTAAAGTGAGTGTCAAAGAATTGCAATCGGTTATTATCTTAAAAGGCTTTCCATGAAGGTAAATTCGAAATCTGCGAAGAGCGTATATGATAGCCAATGTTTCTAGCTCAAAGCTGTGGTACTTGGACTCAGTCTCTGTCGTTCGCTTTGAGAAATAGAACACGGGATGAAGTTTTCCATCACATTTCTTTTGCATTAAAACTGCACCGAAACCTAAAGAGCTTGCATCGCAATGTAACTCGACATCGTCTCTATGATCATAAATAGCCAATACAGGGGATTCGATTAGTTTTTTCTTAAGACTCGAGAAACAATTAAACTCTTTCTCGTTAAACGTAAAATCGTTGCCTTTCCTTAGCATATCGTAAAGTGGCTTGGCTAAAACAGAAAAGTCTTTTATAAAGCGTCTAAAATATGAGCATAAACCCAAAAAGCTTTGTACGTTGTGTAATTTTTCTGGAATCGGAATGTTTTTAATAGCATCAAGCCCTCTATCATCTGCTCTTATTCCTTCTTTAGTTATAAAGAATCCTAAATATTTTATGCTTGACTGCATAAACTCACATTTATCTAGCCGCAGCTCTAACTTATTATTAACTAACCGAATAAACACTTCCTTTAATGTACTTAAATGTTCCTCTATATCTGTGCTAGCCACCATTATGTCATCCATGTATACAATAACCTTATTTTCTCTAATCAAATCGGAGAAAATTTTGTTTACGAAACGTTGAAAAACGGCTGAAGCATTTTTTATTCCCATGGGCATTCTCAAAAATTCAAACTGTCCTAAAGGAGTCACAAAAGACGTGTACTTTATCGAATCATCGCTCACGAATACGTGGAAATACCCATTTTTTAGATCGAGCTTCGAAAATACACTCTTATTGACTAGTTTGTCCAAGAGGTCATCTATTAGAGGCAGAGGATAGTTGTCTTTTATTAAAATCTTATTTAGCTTGCGATGGTCTATGCATAACCTAAGATCTCCAGTTTTCTTCTTTACCAACACGATTGGGGAAGCATATTCCGGGTCACTATTTCTTATAATACCTTTATCTAGGTATTCGTCTAACAGTTTTTGGAGCTGATCCTTTTCACTATATGATAGCCGCCTAGGTGAACAACTGAACGGCTTCGATTTTTCTATGTTAATTTTCATTTCGCACCTGGTAAAAGGTATTTCTGGTCTTTTTGCAGTATCGTATAACGTATTAAACATTTTGATAAACCTGCACTTGGTCTCGTAGTCAATTTCATTACCACAGCTATATTCCGGGAATTGATTATCCACAACGTTGATACTTAACATATCCTCATCAAATAAATGTTTCTTCTAAAACGCTCTTTGTAAGATTTTCGGTTTGTTTTCCTAATAATTGCTCCTCAAAAGTTTTATTTCCTAACAGTCGGTTCTTAACAGTCTCTTCTCCTACCAGTTGCTCCTTAACAATTTCATTTCCTAACAGTCGGCTCTTAACAGTCTCTTCTCCTACCAGTTGCTCCTTAACAATTTCATTTCCTAACAGTTGCTCCTTAATAATCTCTTTTCCTAAAAGTTTTTTTCTAACAGTCTCTTTTTCTGACAATTGTTTCTTAACAGTCTTATTTTTAGTTAGGCAATCCGTACAAAAAGCATCTGACAACTCAGCCATTGCATGTCGTTGCCCCTCCGTCCCACACAACAGGTTCAAGTTGCAGGTGTGACAGACGGAGTTCTTTTTGTAAATACTATGATCACTATTCTTAATAGTGTCAAGGGTGTCTAGATTAATGCTTAATCCATAAACACCCATGAAATCCCTTCCCAGAATTGCATCATGGCTCACGGACTCATCAGCGACAATTATTAAATCAAAATGAATCTTTATTCCCTTTCTTCATTATAAAGCACAACCTTTTTCCTTTTACATTAAGTTGGCTCTTATTTATACCATAATATGGAGTGTTAACTTTATTAATGTGCGTTCCATAAGGGACTTTGAATAGTTTTATAAAAGATATCGCGTTGCCTGAGTCTATGAGCGATTCTGCAATGATTGGTACATTAAAATAATAAACAAAAAAAAATTGGATAGATCTTACATAGTTGTTTTTGTCGCTAGCGCTCTTCTTCTGGGGGCATTGCCCTACGAAGTGCCCCATTTCTCCACAGGCGAAACAGGATCCTTCGCGAAATGGCCCTTGGAGTTGCAGTTCCTGCAACGCAGATCATTATTCCCAAAGACCTCCATTGATGACTTCTTCGCTGCGTTGGCTTCATTTATCTGCGGGAGGCAGATATTTACAAAGGCTTGCTGCATTTGCTCCGGGTTGGCGAATCGTTGAATGCGAGCTTGATCCCTTAAATTTGCTGATGGCACTCCTTCGATGATTTGCTCTAAAAGCTCATCTGTGTCCAGGTTGATGGGTTTAGCCGACATCATTTTCTCCTCGAAGTACATGGCAAAACGCTCGGTTTGCTGCCATTTACGTTGCTCGAACTTGCGACGCTTTTCGGACTTAGAAGATGTTTGCCCGAAGGCCATAATCAGCTGCTCGCATAACCTCTCGAAAGGTTCCATCATCCTAGTACGGTTGGCATGCAACCAGCGCTGTGCCTTTCCCTTAAGCTTCGTAACGAACAGCATCCTTAGGCCGTCGTCGGCCAATGTATATACCTGTCCAATATTCTTGAGGAGTTCCACCCAGTTGCGAGCACACATGTTTTCGTCAAAGTCTATGGCTGCTTCTTTGGCGAAAGACAATGATGCTGCTGATGCAGCCCGGTTGGTGGTTCTGTCAGCGTTAAAAACGGCGTTGTTATTGTTTGCTGAACCGAATACTGCCAAACTGCTGGTGTTGCCACCCGATGTTATGCCTTGCAGGGCTGCTGAACCGTTCAGGCTTGCAGTGCTGCCACCAGATGCGTCGTCGTTTGAGGTCGGTGGCACGATCAGACTGACAGGGTTGCCAATTGATGCATGCACATGCGATTGCGGCAGAAGGTTCGAGACTCCAACTGCTTGTTGTTGTTGCTGTTGTGTGGCGCCACGTGTCTGCGCGTGCTGCAACAAACTGCGATGAGCACCAATTTCTGCCTGCAGCTGCCTGATAATAGCAAGAAGCTCAGGTTGCTCGAGAGCATTCCGGGAAATCACCCTCTGTGCAACCTCTGGAGCGTTGTCCGGTTCGTTGCCCTCGGAGGCGACGTCATGATCCTCTCCAGGATTCTCGTTATCGGGATGATCCTCTCCGTGGTTTTGGTTGGCGTCCTTACGTGGTGCATGGCCGCGCTCTTCACGAGGAACACTCCCAAGGCGAGCCATCAATTCGGCTTTAAGGCCTTGAGTTGGCAGTCCCAACGCGGAAAGCCATCTTTTTAACTGCACAACCGAGTATTCGTTAAAGTTAATTTCGTCCATTGCGTAGATCTGAACCACTTCTGAATTTGTGAGAGGGACAGTTTTATAATAATGCACACAACTTTACTCAAAGCACGTCCACTTTATTCAGCTCGTGTATCTAGAATGTCCCACATTGGGCTTTCTTACAGTTCATGTTAATCTTAATGTTAGCTGAACATCTACAATCGAGGGTTTTATCGGTAATAAGGTGACCATATACTCAGCCTACTACAACCGTTTTGTTGAGATGAACGCGATCGCTCGGTTGGCGCCGTACTTATCGATAGCTCGATGCTGTGACGTCATGCGGTGGTTGTTGTCGTGTCTGGAGGAAGTATTTCCGCAGATCTGGCAGCTCCGTGATGGGTTCCCGTGTTTCGTTGTATGGGGACCTGAGGAAAGTGGGATGCGGTTAATAGCGTACCACAGGTACGTCGCCTGCCTATATGTGGTGCGTACTCTAAACTCTTGTCCTCCTAAATGCCCTGCGGCTCTGGATTCCTGGTCTGTGTGGATGCGGATAGTTCTGGTGTCCCCTGCGTGTCGTCGTCGTCGTCATCCTCGTCGCCCTGATGGTAGGGCTTGAGGTGGTTTATGCTGGCCGTGCGGCGACGGCGGCTTCCGGCGTCTTGCAGCCTGACTATGTTATGGGAGAGGAACTTGACCACTCCACTGAGGTCCCGTTTTTTTGGCATAAAGTCGAAAAATTGAGCTACAGGGTTCAAACTTTGCAGAATTTATTTTTATGGCATTAAAAATTTCTGTACAAAAAATTGGGTCAGTGCGACCACGCCCGCGCCTGCCGCCCCTGCAAACTAATTAAGAATAAATATATATTATTTCCTGTTCTATTCAATTACTTACTTATTTTTTAAATGCAATTTTCTTCTTCATCCAATTCAATATTATAATTATCCAGATCGTCGTCAGAATCGCACTGCAGATCATTCTGAATGCGAAAATCTATCTTTTTTGTATATTTTGTTACGAGCTTCAGAAGCATTTTCGCCTAGGCATCCTAGTGGAACTAAGCTCGAATGATTACCAGATTAACCATGAACCAATATTTTATAAATTGTTGGTGACATCGGATACCAAGGGTAGCTTCGCAAATATAATAAAAAAGTTGTTTCACAAAATGAGCGAAATTTTTCCGAATTTATATAATGATTGGAAGAAATGGCGATTAAAATTGCGTGAAATTTATTTAAAAGATCTTCGTTGAAGTTGGTAATAGATGCTAGTAGCTTAGTATTGGCAAAAGCTCTCCTTGCCGTATTACCATCATTGGTATTGCCGCTTACATTCTGCTTTGTCATGCTTATCCGAAGACCCATTTCGTATATTTTCCGTTTGCTCATTTCAATCTTATCATCACCTTTTATATGCCATTTCTTTAATTCAATTTTATATGAAATGTTTAAGACAAATTCTATGAACCGGATCCAGGCATGCAATGGACTTACGCCAAACTGCAAAGCTCCAGGCTTTGGGATAAAAAGTTCAGAATTAAAATTTTTTATTTCTAATATTTTTTGTTGGAGTGACACCACAGATTGGACAACATTGAGTAGATGTAGTTCCAGTCAAAACGTTTAGCACTTTGCCATCAATAAGTGTCATGTGCATTTCATAATTTACTGTTATATCACGATTCTCATTGAATTTATAAACAGAAGGTTTGAGATTATTAATTTGAGAATCTAAAAAGTTCTTTTCCATCATTATGTGTGCCGTAGTTTCTTTTACAAGTTCAATTTTTAAAGGTCTGCAAAATCGAATAGATTGCGGTGTTCTATTATTCCATATGTTGTGATCAAAAGCGACTATAATTTTTATGGGTATAACAGAAGTCACAAAAATTGAGTGATCTGAAAGCTGTTCACCAGTTGTTTTGGTATCAAACTTCTGCTTGTATATTGAATGACCCGTAGAACCATCAAATCCATAGCTGCATATTAGTTTAATTTCAGAGCTGTTTGGAAACTGGCTTAAAACATCGGCTTGCATTTTAATAATTCTGTGAGCAGTATGATCCAAAAGGTTTTGTAATGATACTTGGGCGGCAGTTTCTGTAACTTTTATATCTCCAGGACTGCATTGTAATTTATATTCCATTATTAGACTATTGGCTGGATAAATGTCACTATGGCGACTTTTATTGATAAGTCTAGTGTTCATGTACTGCTGTTTTGTAAGAGAATTATCCAGGAGGTATGCCAAACCTTCATCGGGTGTAAGTGGAATGGGTTTTTGCACATCAAATTGTTTTCTCGATTCAGTTGAGTATTCGGGTGTTGTTATGGCTTTTTTTTTAGAACAAAAGCCGTGTTCTTCTTGCTTTGTTTCTTTGCAGAGACTGCTGCAGCATGTGCCAGAAGATTTGTGTCACAATTATTTTCATTTGCGAGCTCAGATGCCAATTTCCTTTTTAATCTTCTACCCGCTTTCGTGTAAGATAAGGTTGGACGTCCCATCTGCTGTGGTTTTTTGCAGGTTTCATCAATAGTAATTGATATTTTTGATTCCAACCATACAGTATGATTAGACATGAACCGTTCAATCATGTAGTTATATTTGGGAAGCCGTTTATGAATGTAACTATTAAAATTACTGATTTTTTTTGTCTATTTCCTTTATCGTATTGGATTCCAAAGCGTTTTTATTAATTTTTGTGTATATCCAATCAGATACACATTGATTTTTGCGATTGCCGCTGCGCCATATTTCAAAAAGTTCGCTGTGAGTAAACTCAAACGTGCCTATAAATTACCAAAATACGAGAAAAGGGGGACGAACGGGGATGAGTTTTTGGTTTGTGGTTAAAGACAACACTCACAAGTACATTCTGGACCAATTAGTTGCTGTCAGCATGGAGCAGCTCATTAGTTATATTCCACGAAACACGGAGAACGCATGTTAGTTTTCTAAAAACATACACATAAATTGGACATTACACAACACTAAATACGTAGAACTACACATAAAATAACAGTATACATTAAATAGTGCATACCTTGAGGATTATTTTCCATATTTTAGTTTAATTTTTTTGACTAAATTAAACCGTGTGAGACAACTCAAAGCAAGTAAATATTTTGGCGCGAATTTCTATTCGGAAATCAGCTGATCGCAATCGCACTTTTAAAAGCTCACAATAAGCTTTGGTGGCACATTTAAAGCTTTTAATTAACATTTTTATAATGTATGAAGAATTTACTTTAAGATAAAAATAAGAAAACAACGATATATTAACATAAAAAAATCGACTTTATGCCCAAGAAAACGGATTCTGGACCATAGTGCACTCGGAACGGCCCCTCGAATCTTGAGGCCAGTTTGGCCGCGAAACCCTCGGTTGCGTTGGAAAGTACATGGCGGCGGGCGAGAACCAGGGAGACTAGTGGTGGTTTCCACTCACGTCTTCATAGGTTGTAGTGCTTGCCCTGGTCGGCCGTGGCACGCTCGGCGTTGTCGCGGGCAACTTTGAATATGTTGTGTAGCTGCTCACTCCGTTCCGCAGAGGAAATCAGGGCTGTTCCTCGTCCCGGGGTGACTTCGTCGAAGAGCGCGTTTGGTAGCTGTTCACGGCGAGTGAGATCTCCGGCAAAATCTGATCCCAAGTTTTCTGCGGTGCGTCTCCCAAGTACTGTGCACTCATTGTTTTAACCGTCCTGTTCGCCCTCTCCGTAGGGTTTTAGCGGGGCGCGTAAGGCGCGGTATGCTGCAGTTCCATTCCCAGAGACTTGCAAAATGTCCGGAATTCTCGACTAGTGAACTATGTCCCATTGTCACAGACCAAAGTCTTTGGGACTCCGAAACGACTTAGAATACGTTCTCGAAATGCTCGTTCGAGGTACGGCACGGTGGCTCTTCGTAGGGGGACAAGTTCCACCCACTTGCTGAACGCGTCGAGGATCACCAGTAGGACAGTGTTCCCTTGCTTGGAACGCGGAAGTGGTCCCACGAAGCCCGTGCATAACACGTGGAAAGGTTCGTTGACCTGGCGCGTGAATATCTTCCCGGCCGGCTTTTCCTGGCTTACCTTGAATTTTTGGCATCTCGGGAACCATAGCACGTATTTTGCTACCTCTCGGAATAGTCCGGGCCAGTTGTACCTCTGGGCCACTCGCGTGCTTGTTTTCCGCACGCCCAGATGTCCAGCGGTGGGGTGGTCGTGGCATTCCGTCAGCTCTCTTACGCGGTCGCGGGTACCCACGCATAGATTCCAGGGGGTTTATTCCCCGTCCTTTGAGCGTAGTCCGATGCGCCGGTAGAGTTGTCCGTTCTCCTCTCGGAAATCCGGATACTTAGCCGGCTCCTGCTGGATCCTGCGTAACATTTTCGTGATCCCCTTACAGTCGCTGTCTTGTACTTGTTCCTGTTGTAATGTCGCCAGAGGCTGCCGCGACAGCGCGTCCGCGACCAGGTTCTGGACTCTGCGTCGGTAGGTCACGTCGTATTGGAACTGCTGTAGCTCCAATGCACATTGGGATGAAATGCCTTTTTTTTTAACAATAACCGTAATTATAAAGCTAGAAAGTTGAAACTGGGAGAATTTGCAGCTTATATTATTTGTGAATTTCGGATTTTTTTTTTACACTACAACCATGCCTTCCTTGCCGCCCACATAATAGAACTGCTGTATTTATAAAATTCATATTAATTATACTCTTCATTTTTTTTATCCACAATTGTTAGAAAATTTTTATATTTTAATATTTTTGCATATTATAAAATAGCTTAATTAACGAAAACTTAAAAATAAGTACATAAACTTGTATTAATATAAACGTTCTTCTTCTAAATCAAAATCAAAATATGGTATACTTTTAATCTCGTCTTCAACAGTATATACTTGGGCTGCATCTTCCGGTTATGGAGAAACTAAAAGTGCAAAAACTTCACTTGGCAATGAGTGTGATTTAGAACTCTTTTTTTGAGCTATGCTTGATAAGTAAGGATCAGAAGATTCCAAAGCTCGGTGAAATACGTCGGTTAAATTGTTCACTCTGCTATTTTTCCTGGCATGCAAAATCCTATCGTGCTTGTAATATTTGTTGCGAGATGATTTAATTATTTCTGGACCATGAACTAAAATTTTGTGGACCGTAGCGGTCATTGTTTAAACAAACGTCATATTCGCATCATAAAACTATTAAAAT